TTTTTGGTAAGCAGTTTTAACTAGCTATTATGGCGATTCTATTGTGAATCCATGTAAGATTAACTTATATATTTGTATTAGGACTCATTCACATCAGTGCAGAAGCATTTCAGCTAAATTTTTGAAAGGGCGTTTTTAAATCGCGTTTCAGTGCTGAAATGCAATTAAAAATACCCAAAAACGCACTGATCAGTGCATTTCAATTGAAATCTATATGGAAACCGTGCTGATCAGCGCGAAGTCAGTAGCTCAGGGAGCATTTCGGGTGGCAGACGGTTGGGATCGTGCAAAGCCGTGCGCTTGCATGAACTGTCCCCGTAGGAATGTATGGTATTGTTCATGTCAGCGGTTCAGCGTGGACAAATCCGCACGACCGAACCATCCTTGTGTAAACGGGGCCTTACTGGTCAAAAATAAACAGAACTGAGAAGCAGCAAAACCGCCCATGAGAACATAGCTTTCCTCTAGTTTTAAGGGGCAATACATTACAGGAGTACAGGCAGTCCCCGGGTTACATACAATATAGGGACTTTAGGTTTGTACTTAAGATGAATTTGTATACAAGTCGGAACAGGTAAATTTTTTAAGTGTAACTCCAGCCAAAAAAAACATTTTTAATTTTGGATAGCATAGGGAAGGGTCACGGTTCTTTTGCCGTCTGTTCTGGTTGTTCAGAAGATTATAATATAATAATTAAAAAAAAAGTGTATTTAACATTAGCCAGCTTGCTATTGGCTATTGCATTTTACAATATCCAATAGCAGGCTGGGTATGGCTCCCAGCCTGTAATGAAGAGTAGGCAGTGGGGCGGGGCAGAGGAGCCGCGGCCACACCAGGAGACCGGAGGATCGTTCGAAGGGGGGAAGCGGCTGAAGAGGAAGCATATCAGCGGAGGTACGTGGGGCATCGGGGTTATGCAGCGGTCTGTGTCCCCGCTGCCACCGCCAACACAGGCGCGGAGAGCAGCGGGGATTTCAAAGGACACAGGCCACTGCCGGTACATTTAGGAGAACTATGGCACCGTTCGTAAGTACGGATTGTCTGCAAGTTGGACGTCCATAACCCGGGGACTGCCTGTACTCAAAATATGCACAAATAGACGTATACAAAGCAGTACTTGTAAGAAATTGTGCTTTACCTTTGAGCCTCAGTGCTAGGATCATTGGCCTTTATTATGAAGTCATCATCCAACTGGTTTTCAGGATCACTGAAGTCAAAATCATCATCTAGTGCTGCCACAACATCAGGATCCAAGTCCAGACAAAGACCTGTTAGCAAAACACAAACGTGTTAAGAATGAAGAATTTCTTATTCTATGTGGTAAACTGAAATCAGGTTTATTTTAACCTTTCCTGCGGGAATGTGAGCATATTAGTTTTTTTCTGATTTAGTATCCCTTATCTTGTATTTTTAGACAAGCTAGGACTATATGGCCGATTTGTTTTTTGAACCTATCAACTTACTGAACTAAAGTGATATTAAAGTTTCCTTTTTTTCCCCCTCTACATATTACTACCTAGAAGGCCCACCGTTGCATGAATCTACTTTTCCTCGTCTTTAAAAAGGTTTAATTCCTCACTTTCTAGTGGGTTCCTGCAGCGCTCATCCCTCCCCTCGCCCCGCTAAGCAGCTGTTGTGGAGACACTCGGGTGTGCATATGCCCGCAGTAGCTGTGTGCCTCCATAGACACACACAGCTCTGCGGCAGGCCACACCCCTCCTGCCCACCCAACAGTTTGATTGATGGGAAGAAGGATCCTATGGCTCCTCTGCTATCCGTATCCTACAACTCTCATGAGGCAGAGAGGAATCATCAATCAGTGCACACAGCTGCCTCCTCCCCCCCCCATCTTCGCACTAAACACACTGACAGTTTAATTCCTTGTAATCTCCTCTGCAATGCTCTGAATTACCAAAACTACAACAAACATCAAGTTTGCAACAATCTACACAGAAAAAAAACTACTTTATTTCAAATGTAAGAGCTGTATCCTCTGTGACCAGATTCAGCATGTGAGCTAAGACTCAGAAGAAAGTATGAGGCTGGTGACAGATCACATGATGAATCTCCTCACTAGTAGCTCACCCCACACTCCCTCCTTGGTAAGCCAGGAGGAGAGAAATCAAAGAAGATATCTTAGTGTGGGAGAGCTGAAGAAATCCCAGCTCCTTGCAGTCTAGAGGGGAGGTTTAGTGGTCGGAGACTGAGAAGACACACCCTCAGTATCTTCTAGTCCTTTACATAAACAAGCACAGATGGTGGCTACTTTTCACCTCCCATAGGGACCATGGAGAAGAAATTGACATTTTTGACAAAAATTGAAGGAGCAGGATGGAAAATGTTTCTTGAACCCCTTTCCTGTAGCGGCTCCACAAGAAGACGTAGCAAAATGGTTCCACGTAAGGGTAAGAAAAGAAGGAAGAACAGCTTATTAGCCCGGGGCCACAAGTGGCTGAAGGAGAAAATGTGTTTGGAGTCTGCCACATCTTCGCCTCCTTCAATGACACCTTCATGCATGTGACTGACCTGTCTGGCAAAGAAACAATATGTCGTGTGACTGGTGGATTTAAAGTCTAAGGCTGACAGAGATGAGTCCTCTGCCTAAGCCGCTATGTTGGCTGCTCAAGATGTCGCTCAGAGGTGCAAGGAGCTTGGCATCACAGCTCTCCACATCCAGCTGCGTGCCACCGGAGGAAACAGGACCAAGACCCCAGGCCCTGTTGCCCAGTCTGCACTCAAGAGCCCTGGCTCGTTCTGGCATGAAAATAGGCCGAATTGAGGATGTGACCCCTATCCCTTCTGACAGTACCCGCAGAAAGGGTGGTTGCCGTGGTCGTCGTCTGTAGTTCTCCAACTTTGTCATTCAATTGTTAATAAAATAATCCAACCAAATGTTTCTTGAACAAAATTTTAACAGTGAATGTGGTTTTCGTTCAGGAAACGCTATTCATCCCCAAAAGGATATATTTGCAAAAGCACCTACCTCGAACAGGTGCAGCTTTGTTCAATAAGCCTACATCCTCCTCAAACTCTGAAGCAAACACCGAAGAAGGTAAATTTAATGTTGGGGGCTATAAAACATAAAAAATATCACCCAATTACAGTTTAAGTAAATGTCTTTGTACACAGAAAAGGCAACAGCAATCATTTAAAACAAAGATCTAAAAAGAATTGTATTCCTCACAATGAAGCATTGAATAGTAACTTCCTAATGTGGATTTACAAGCAGTGGAATACTCAGCAACACATACCCCATTAGTCACATGTGCTTTGCATTCATATATCTGCGTGTATGTGGGGGATTTTGTTTTTTTTTTATGAAATAATCATTTTTTATAAAAAAAAATTCTTTAACTCAACTTTATTATTATCACAATGGAGCTGATAAGCCTCCTATGTAGTAGCATAATGCAGATGACAGGCTCTCATAAGGAGACATCAGGGGTCTATTAGAGCCCTTATGTCACCCCTGTACTCTTTTAAAGCTAATCAAGTACAGATTGTGCTCAATTAGCTTATTCCCTGGGCATGGAATGACAGCATTGAACCCAGACGTGATCAAAACTTTTTATTTTTGCTGATCGCTTGTAGTGTCATTCTTCATGGGGGAGATCAGCGGACAAAAGTTCACTGGACTGCCCATTGCTCGCCATCCTGTGGCTTGCTATGATGGTCCCGGGCACCCAGGACTCAAGTGAGCCCAGTACACAGGGCAAAGAGAAGGCGGCGCGTTACAGTACATGTTGAAGTGATCGGACAGCTTTACAGCCGCCAAAATCACTTCCATAAAACGGTTAACAAATACCCAAGTTTGTTTACATGTTGGCTGCTGGCAGCCTTAAGTTTATGGCAGTGAAGGGGTTAACTAAGATAACCAAATAGTTTCAGATTGATATAAAGCTCACCGAGATATGTTCCACTTCGTCCTCTACCTTCCCATCATGAGTCACAATAATCCTACTTTGTGATCGTCCTGTATCAGAAGGAACAAGTTCAGCAGGGCCTACATTTTTAAGGTGCTGCAAGTAATTGTAGTCATCATCAAAGAAAACACCAAATTTCCTTTGTTCGTCTCTTCTTTTTTCTGCATCTACCTGAAATGAAAACCCCACAAATACATTAGTCATCAATTAAACTGAATCTAAAAATTAAACCTTTTTTTTCCTCCAAAGTTTTGGATAGAGTAGAGAAGGGTTATAACTAGGGATGCACCGATACCACTTAAAGGCCGAGTACCGATACTTTTTTTTCAAGTACTCGCCGATACCAATTACCGATACTTTTTCTTAAAGGGACAGGTCACATTTTTTCTAAAGCAATACAAAATCATGATTTTAGGTCAGTTTCTTAATATTAAGAACATGAACACTCTGTAGTGTGGCACAGCTATATCCAATTCTGCATACCTGGCTTTATATTATAAGAACTTTATAATATAAAGCCAGGTATGCAGAATTGGATACAGCTGTTCCACACTTTACAATAATACACTGTTCTGGAGTCTGGACATGTGATAATCTATTTTCCCCACTAGGGGGATACAAGCCTTAGTTAGCAATGGCATGATGAATATTAATTTCATTATTCAATGTCTTTTTTTTTAAATATTATAACATTTATAATATAAAAAGACATTGAATAATGAAATTAATATTTATCATGCCATTGCTAACTAAGGCTTGTATCCCCCTAGTGGGGAAAATAGATGAGCACATGTCCAGACTGCAGACCAGAACACAGTGTGGCACAGCTACAGCCAATTCTGTATAACTGGCTTTATATTATTATTAAATTTTCTTATAATATAAAGCCAGGTATGCAGAATTGGCTGAGCCCCATGAGGTGTGTCAGTACTAACCTGCTGTGTCGTCTTCTCCGTCTGCTTCAGCCACTCCGTGTCACAGCCTAGTCATGTGCTCCATTCGGACCTCTTCTCCCGCTGATCAGCCGATTGGATGATGACAGGCTTCCTCACCAGTCACTCCTGACTGGTGAGGAAGCCTGTCATCATCCAATCGGCTGATCAGCGGGAGAAGAGGTCAGAATGGGCCAGATGACAGAGGAGGTCGCAGCCATCTTGCTTCATTGAAGACGCGGTGGAGGTCCTGTGTGCGGCGGATGCGGGTCCCTGAAGATGGCGGACGCGGCACAGGTACTCGTTTTATGTATCGGAGTATTTGCACGAGTGCGAGTACTCATGCAAATACTCAATCATACTGTAGATGAAAGACACCAGCTGTGTATCACAGACATCATTCTTACATATTTCAGTAGCAGGTTTTCTCCTGCCCTTTTTACACAAAACCAACATTTCTCTTTTTGCTTGCAGCGAGATCTAAACTTTTTCTTTCAGAAAGTGGAAGTGTTAAAACTAGGGTAGCACCGATCTATCGGCCGCCGAAACATATCGCCCGAAAATTGCACTTTTGGCATAATGCTGAAAGTGGCATTTTCCTGCCGATACATCGACGCATCCCAGGTTTCTTTCTTCCTCGCTGGGCGCTGCTCTGTGTCCCAGCGGGGAGGAGAGAAGGTGACAGCCGGCCGAGCGCTGCGGGACAAAAGCACTGTGAGCGGCCGGTGTCTCTCCTCCCACACCGCTCGGCCACCTATCACAGCGCGGCAGGCGGTATGGGGGGTGGCGACAGCCCTGTCACAGGAGGCTGGACTCTGTTCCCGCTCGCTCAGCCTCCTGTGACAATGTGTGTGTCAGAGAGGAGAGTAAACAATCAGTGATCGCTGAGTGTTTGTAGATAATTGAGGATAGGGTATGTGGACTATATCCTCAATTATGAATGAATGTGAAGTGAATAAATCACCTCCTGTTCATTCATAGTTGTGGTTATAGTAAACATACTGTATTCTCAAGTTATCAATGAACGGGAACACTCAGAGGATTCCTGTTCATTGATAACAGGGGATACAGAAAAAGAGATTGAGGACTTTGTGTCCCCAATCTCTTTTTCTATTTTAAAAAAGGGAAATATCAGGGGTCTGTTTAGACCCCCAATATTTCCCCGAAGCCCCTAAAAGTAAAATGAATAAAATAAAAAGAAGAAGTTTATAAAAAATTAAATAAAAATTAAATATATTTGAAAAAATTAAAATAAAAACATTTTCGGTTTCGGCCTGACAATTTTTTTTATTTCGGTTTTGTTTTTCGATTTTTATATTTCTATTTTGGTGCACCTCTAGTTAAAACCTATGTCAAGCTTTTAATTAAGTCTGTGCCCCTGCTGCAGAGATTCACCCTCTCTATTTGTCCTGGTGACCACAGTCACTGGAACAGAGTTAAAAAAAATGTCCAATAGGGACAACTATTCTGGTGACAGCCATCTAAGAGAGGATTTTTCCTTTTACTTCAGAACGTGAAGAAATAAACCCTTAATGGGCCAAAGAAAAAAACAAAACAAAAAACAATGGGGTTTAATTCTTCCCTTATCAGCAGTACAGCTACTTAGAATATAGGGCAGCAGTGTTCCTTTTACATTTCTTAAAAAGGTATGATCAAAACAACTACAAGTCAGCACACACCTTGGTGAACAATTGAGTAGTGTACACTAGAGGACAGCCAGTGAAGAACATTGGTGTATGCATTAAATAAATGCAGTTTAACGTTTACCTACCTCCTCCTACCTTTTTGCAGGGCTATTGTCACACAACATACTCACACGCTCGGTGAATCCAGCGTTGTCCTGTTAAGTAATTGCTCTGCTTCGGCATGCCGGGTCCCACACTGCCATCTTCCCTTCCTACGTCATTAGAAGATGGCTGTCTCTTTTGGGTTTTTGCAACAATCCCAGATGACATGCCACTAGGTCTACCCCCCAGACACAGTGTGTACCTGCTTCTGTAGCCTCCTGGGATATGCGACAGGGATATTCTAAAAAGCTGCAGGAGCAGGGGCACATTATTTTTGACTGGGCAAGAATGGAGGCAGAGAAAGGACAGAGTAAAAAAGAAAAAAAAAAAGCCATAATAAATATAAACAAAAGTAAACAAACAAACAAAATAACTATTGGCTTTTTGAAATAGCGGAGGGGGAGGGTTGCAGTGGGCAAAAGACCATTTTTGGAGTGAAGGTCCATTTTAAGAGGGACACCAAGTAAGTAATGGGAAGGATGTATGGCAGCATACCTTATCTGCAGGTAGTAGGACTCTCTGAGGAGCAGTTTCATCAGCAGCTAGTGGATCCCTCTGACTTCTGTGGACCAGATGGAAAGTTACTGCTTTCTTCTTTTCTATGAAGGGCTTCTTTTTTCTGTGAGGCTATAATAAAATAAAATGTGTTATCTGTAACTGTCCTGAAGTAGAAGTAGTATTTTTAATTACTGCGATTTTGTCAGGAAAGAAAACAAACTACACTTTAGTGAACTTTATACACACTGTACTGAAGACGGTTTGACATTAAACATTAGCAGGAATATTCAACAAATAGGACATTAACAGTCAGAATTTATCCCTGTAAGCATGTTAACATAGTTAGCCAAAGAGCTGTGGAGGACCCAGGAAGTGTCAGCTGGGAAGACTTCTACTGAACAGGATTCTGATGGCAGACAGACAGCAAGAAACTTGAAAAACGTAATTGAGGAAGAACCAGCTTGTAAGGTAGCTGTTTAGGCAACATTGTTATACAGTGCCCCCCACCACCCTGCAATCATGTATTGTCAATACAGAGTTGCTCAGTTACTGTGTGTGGGGGTGTTTTTAAAAAAAAATATTATATGGTCATTGTTATTTGTCTTTGTATAGATTTCCTGCGATTTTTGCAAATCAAAAATTAATGCACACAGGCTTATAACTTTATGCAGGATCATGTTGGCGGCAAGATCCTACATACTATCTTGTCCATATATTGTACACGTGTAACATTTGTGCTAAAGCTGACATGCCTACAGTTTATAGCACAAATGTTCCCTACCAACTGTTAAGACGCTAGGTGACTTAAGCAGCCTGCATCCTAGCAACGAATGAAGACAGACAGCAGGGAGTCGCCTGTTCCCGGCAACAAAGGACGCTAGACAGCAAAGAGCAGCCTGCATCCCAGCAACGGAGGATGCTTGACAGCAAGGAGTCATCTGCGTCCTAGCAACAGACTCTAAGCGGCAAGAAGCCACCTTGTTCCCTGCAACGAAGAATGCTCACAGACACCTGTGTTTTACCAACTAAGGATGCCAGACAGCTCATGTCACCTAGCATCCCTTGTTGTTAGGAAGAGTATTTGCATCGTATGCCTGTAACTTTTAGATTGTAAGCACTCACGGGCAGGGCCCTCCTTAGCATCGTGCCTTGATTTGTATTGTGATTGTAATGTCTTCCCTATATTGTAAAGCGCTGCACAAACTGTTGGCGCTATATCAATCCTGTATAATAATAACTGTTAGCACAAACATTTACATGCATATGATACAGTCCATACCCAGGACTGTGGGAGCTGCCTGTGTTCTAGCAACAATAATGCTAGACAGCAAGGAGCTGCCTGCAACCCAGTATTGAAGGATGCTAGACAGCAAGGAGCAACCAGTATCCTAGCAATGAATACTAAGCAGCAAGGAGCCCCCTTCCTGGCAACGAAGGACTCTAGGCAGCAAGGAAACACCTGTGTCCTAGCAACGAAGGATGCTACACGGCAAGAAACTGACTGGGTCTTGGCACTGAAGGACATTAGGTGGCAGGGAGCTGCCTGCATCCTAGCAAAGGATACTAGGCGGCAAGGAGCCATCTGTGTCCTAAAAACAAAAGGAGGCTACATGGCAAGTAGCTGCCTGCATCCTAGCAACAAAGGACCCTAGACAGCTCAAGCCACCTAACGTCCCTCGTTGTTAGGATGAGTATTTGTGCTGTACACATGTAAGCATTAGCACAAACATTTACATGGATAGGATGCGGTCCATACCCAGGACTGAGGGAAGCAGATTTTTCAGTTTTCCTTTTTTGTTTTTAGAGCCGATAGTGTAACATTACTGATCCTTACTTAGGGCCTCCAGAAATTATTATATTTACGTTCAAATCTGCAATCACACTGTACTGAGAAAACCACTGCATTCCGTTTTGCTTTTTTTTACAGCTGTGTGCACGAGTCCTTTAGAGAAATTCACTGAACTGAGTGGAGAAAAAGTTAAGGCAAGCCCAGTTCTATAAGCAGACACGAATGCAGGTAAGCTATTACAGAGTGAAGACTATTGATGGCTCCGATTTAAAGTCCATTGCTCTTACCATGATTTATTCCATAGAGTATAATGTCCCCAGCAAACCTGGTTGTCCAGATACAAGAAGAATCCCGGGACGATGACAAAACACACTGTCAGAAGAGCAACATGTATGACCACCTCTACACAGTTTTATATAAATGTTATTATATATTTATAAATCATTTCGCAAAACAATTGTCAGCTATCAGTAAACCAACAAAAATGTAACACCAACAAAAAAAACTGCGACCCCCGTTCATGGACTTATGGAATACGCCACTAGAGGAAAGCAAATCCTGCTGAACACTAGGAGAAAATGTGTAGCCCTCTGAAGTTGTCCCCACAGACATTTTTTGTAACCCAATTGCCGTATTTGTCTAGTAAATTTTTGTTCTACAACAAAATGACTGACACTTGCATTTAGGGCTAAACGATGGAGACCAATCTGGAAAATAAAACACTACCTCTATAACTAGGAAATGCGCATGATGTTTCTGTGTTACAGTAATTGGTTGACGTGCAATTATTGGCTGGTAGGACTAGTTCCGCGTCCACCTTTATAACAGTAGGTGGTTGTTGCTCAGTATACAATGTTCTGCACGTACTTTGGGTTTTTTAATAAACTGTTCCTTATTACTTTATTTGTTCCTGGAACTGTAGTTTTGCTTACATATTTTCAATGATGATGAATTCCTTTCCGTTTTTCTACTACGGGCGGACGGCAAGAGGTTAAAATGTTATCCAAGTATTCCTATTAATATATGACATTGTTTGCCTTCTATTATAAAGCCTTAATAATCACCAGGAGTCTAATAACTTAAAGTGATAATAAAGTCTTATGGTTTTTAAGCTATTTCAAATGCTGATTAAATCCCTTATAATGGATGTTGCTCCTTGAAAAAGTTTTAGTTTCCTGCAGAATCAGCTATTCCACTGAGCACTGGCCCTGATATCCTGTTTTAGAGTCGCTCCTCTACCATGTAGGGTCCTATGAAGTCACCCTTGTGTGTGCTTGTAAGCTGTGTGTGTCTCCACAAACACACAGTCACAGCAAGGCAAGACACTGCCCTGCTGGCCACTCCTCCTTCCTCCCTTCTCCAAGCTAGTATATGGACAGCTGCTAGAGACTGCACTGACCCTTGTGACCATGTACTGGACAGGAAGTTTGGGAAAGACGAGCTGGGAGAGTTGGAGGCAGTTGTTTGTTTTGATGACTGTACGTGCTTTAGTGAAAATGTAAAGAAATACTTTACTAGGAAATGAGGAAATGTATATTTGTTTGTCCTGTGCCAAATTTGTAAAAGCAGTGTCACAGTTCTAATACTATTACCAAGACATGCAACAAATCCAGTTCTTTTTGGTGACCTTTGTACATTATGTTGCAATGGTTGTGACAAATTCACAAAGGAATACAGCTGTTTCAGAGACAAGGCAACTGGTAGTAGATGAGACCTTTTTCATTGTGGCATAATTTGGCCCCAGCTCACCCTCCCCCTCCCCACATCATTGGACCCAATGGCACTGTACAGCTGAGTGTTATTGGTTGCTAGGATGCTGGCAGCCACAGAGTGTCACTGGTTGCTAAAACGCAGAACGCATCCTAGTAAAGGTGGAAAATAGTTTAAAGTTTCTCTCTTCTGCTTATCCAAATAATGTATTTATTTTTTGATACTTAAAATAGTATTAAAGTCACTTTTGCTTTTACATAGTTCTACTGCTAGCAAGCAGTAGATACAGTATATGCAAAAACATTTAAAAAAATGTTTACATGTACTAAATAGGCAATTACCTGTGTCCCCGCCGCTCGCTCCCGTCTGAAGATCTGAAGATTCTTGAGTGGCCGTGCAGGATGATGGGGCGGGCACATGCGCAGTAGAGATCTTTGACGGGGTGAAGAGAAGAGACACAGTGTAAGTGCATGCATGTCAGACAGACACCGTGGGACACAAAAGACACAACGCAGTCAGAGCTGGATCAGAGGCCAGCGCATCATGGACTCCTGAAAACTACTGGAAAGAAGAAGATGATCGGATCAAGAGGCATCATTTAAGGTAAGTCCTTAAAGCAGTATTGGAGGAGGGGGGATGTGTCTTTAATATCACTTTAAGGTTGAAGTTACCCACCAATTTAATGTCTCCCAAAACAGTTACTTTCAAGGCATGCCAACTGTCAAGGTTGCCAGTGTACTTATTTCAGTTCTCAACTGAACTTTCAAGCCCTAAATGGCTGGTGTCACATGTGCATCATCATGGCATCTGCAATCCAAATAGAGGCACCTTCCTTGGCTGTAAGGCATAGAAGGGTGTAGTTTAGGGTGACCATTTGTCCCCGGATTGAGGAGACCTTCCCTGGACAAACTATGTCCCCGGTAACATAACATAAAAACAAATAATTCTTTTTTTTACTCACCTGATCCCTGGATCCGCCAACGAGCCTCAGCTGCCTAATCGAGCAGGAGGAGGAGGCTGAGGCAAGGAGGAGGAGCAGCAGGAGGGGGCGGGTCTGAATTCAAGTCCAGAATCCCGTCGGGCAATGGAGGAAGCCATTCCCGAAGCGCTAGTCGAGCGCGGAGACTGGGACCTGGAAGTGCCAGTCAGGCGGTGAAGGAGGCCGGGTGCCCGTAGCAGCAGTGTTCCAGCGGTGAGGGAGACCAGGTCCAGCAGCGAGCGACAGAGGCAGGTAAGAGGATCACACTGTTGTTGAAGGGACCCTGCAGAGCCCAGCATAAATTCTGCACAGCCCACCTGAAAGTCTCAGGTGGGCTCTGCAGGATCTGTGGGGTGGGCTCTGCAGGGTCCCTTCAACAGCAGTGTGATCCTCTTACCTGCATCTGTCGCTCGCTGCTGGACCTGGTCTCCCTCACCGCTGGACCACTGCTGCTACGGGCAGCCTGCACGGCCCACCACAGATCCTGCACAGACCCTGCAGAGGCCATCATGGACCCCACTGAGCCCACCATAGACCCCATAGAGACCACCACAAATCCTGCACAGCCCACCTGAGTCCCCAGCTTTCCTGCTATGCTAATAGCGGAACATGTCAAAAGTTGGATACAGCATGTGCGCTGCAGCCAGCGACTGAAAGGTTATGCAAAAAGTCAAAAACAGGAAGTGGCCAGGCAAATTTAGTGTGTGTGGGGGGGGGTGCCTGAAACCAAAATACACCACTGCCCGTCTCCCACGCTGTCAGAAGCTGCATATAGCGTGTTCCGGTTACTATTTAAGCCAGCACGCGCTGTATGCAGCTTCTGAGAAGATACGCTATTAGCATAGTGGGGAAGCCGGCTGCCAGGGCCTTTTGACATCTTCTAGGACACCAGGCCACACAGTAGACGTACCTGTGTCACTGATCCATTATGCTGTGGCTTCAATGTAGACTTGGCTGGCAGAAGAATGCTTTTAAAAGTTCTACAGAGGTATAGAGAAAAGGACCCTTCTTTACACAGTCTTTGTTGGTTTCAAGTATGGGTGTGTTCCAGAAGAAACTACCATTTATCAGGGACAATATAGGAAGGGACATTATTACTAGGGAAGGAAGGTGCTTCTATGCAGAAGTAATAAAGCACTGATCCTGTGTCTACACAGATAAACACTTGAAGGATCATAGTTTTTGTTTTATCTTTTAAAAATAGTTCCCCTCACACCTTCTACAAGTTTTGCACAACAATCATGCAGCCTGGTATTAACATGTCAGGAGTATGCATGTTTGCTGCTTCTTTGCCATGTTGAAGCTCTGGCATGGGATTTAAAATTAGTCTTGCAAAAGAAGTGGTATCCTTACTAAAGCACAGGTTCCTGATATTGACAGGCATTGGGCTCTTCGGCACCCCTGGTGCCCAGGAGTGGGTGCTGGTATAGAGGGGCTTGTACACAATCTACCTTTTCCCCAGTGGAGGGATGAGGTAAGAAGGTTGCTACCCTGTGGAGTGACTTTAGGAATGTCCTTGATTTCTCAGGTCACTCCCTGGATCTTCTCTACTTGCCCAACCTTGCCCAAATCCCAAGAGAATCTCCCCAGGGTTGCCTCTAGCCACTATACTGTATTAGAAATTATACCATATAAGGTAAATTATGACCCTTGTCATGGAGAATTGAGTACCTCATGTGTTGGGGTGCCAGTACCAAGAGGGACAGTAGTGTTCCTGTAACATTACAGTAACGCCAGCAAACTGTGCAATACAAGCTTGTCACTTGCTTATAGCAGGTGTATGCAATGCTCTGTCAAAGCTTATAGAGGGTGCTCTATGTTCACACAATCTCCATTAATATATATAGACACTGAATAGGGAATAGTTTGACCTCAAGTAATATGAGATGAGATGACTTTGAATCTTCTACTTAATAATGTAAAAGTATTCTCAAAAATGCTAACTATAGACACTTGGCTGCTAAACATGAATGAAAGTGTGAACAATTTATGAATAGTGTAGGGGCCATGTAGGGACTTAGCTTGCAAAGAAGTGATCCAAATGCAAAAAGTGCGTGCATGGGCTTTTTGCCCGTGTTTATTTTGTCACCATTGCATCAAACACAAAAGAAATTCCCACGCAGGGGGACTGTGACAGCACAATCCAGTACACAGCAAAACATTCAGCCTTCTGGTTAGCTTTGAAACAATTTGAACTGCAGTCTGTTCCAGCACAGACTGCATGCTGTCTCTCTTTACACACCACCTACCTTGTTATACGAGAGAAGACTTAAATTATGTTATGGGGAAAGGGTGTGGCCAGTGCTGCACACTGCTAAGGTGCCCATACACTGCTCGATTCTCGTACGAGAATCGCGAGAAATCCAGCAATCGTACGAGAATCGAGCAGTGTGAACGGAGACGTGCGACCGTTTCTACTGTACGGTCGCACGTCTTCCGTCGAACCAGCATGTTCGAAAACCAGCCGGGAATCGTACGATTCTCGGCTGGTTAGAACGGTGCTCGGAAGACAAATGCTGAACCGGCCGGTGTGCGCACGTGCACACTGCCCGTTCAGCATTGCGGTCATCGGAAGCCCGCCCCTTAGGGGGGCGGGCTTGCGATGATCGAGAGTGCGATCTGCCTGTCCAAGATAGGCAGATCGTACGTTTTTTTAATCCCTGTACAACCATCGCAAGACTAAGGTCTTGCGATGGTTGTAGAGTG